TGGGTGGGCTTGAGATGGAGGGACATGGGGTGGAGGGACATGGGGTGGAGGGACATGGGATGGAGGGACATGGGATGGAGGAACGTGGGGTGGGGTTGGGATGGAGGAACATGGAGTTGGGATGGAGGAACATGGGATGGAGGAACATGGGGTTGGGATGGAGGAACATGGGGTTGGGATGGAGGAATGTGGGATGGAGGAACGTGGGGTGGGGTTGAGATGGAGGAACATGGGATGGGGTTGGGATAGAGTTTGTGTCAGACCCTGGAACAGGCTGCCCAGGGAGGTGGTGCAGTCACCACCCCTGGGTGTGTTGAAGGGTTGTTTGGATGTGGTGTTGGTGGATCTGGTTTAGGGGAGAACTTTATAGAGCAGGGATGATGGTTGGACTGGGTGATCCCAAGGGGCTTTTCTAACCTGAATGGTTCTAGGATTCTGTGATCATGCTGGTCCCTGAGTTGGTGCCCTGAAGCTGATTGGAGCCTCAGAGGTGTTTTTAAACAACCCTCACCCCTGCTTGTCCCATGGGTGCTGCAGATCTTGGCTCTGGAGCTGGGATGGAGCTGCCTGGTCCATTTCATTCCAGGAAAAGCTGCTGCTCAGCTGGTCCAACTTAGAATCAGTCAGAGAATCATTCAGGTTGGAAAGGACCTCAAAGATCATCAAGCTCCAACTGCCATGAGCAGGGAACCACCAGCCCAGGCTGCACAAAACCTCATCCAACCTGGCCTGAGAAACCTCCAGGGATGGGGCATCAACAACCTCCTTGGGCAGCCCATCCCAGTTCCTCACCACCCTGAGAGGGAAGAATTTCATCCTAACATCTCACCTCAATCTCCCCTCTTTCTGTTTAAAACCATGAAAACCCAACTGAGTTGTAAATCCTTGGCCAAGGGAGGAGAAGCTGAGTTGATGCCTCAGGATTTCTGTCTGATCAGAAGCCCCAGAGCTCCAGGATTAGCACCAGCTCCAGATTTCCTGGTTGATTTGTGTCTGGTGGGAACAAGATTGAGTGGTTCTGCTCTCAGAAGGAAGGAGCAAATGGCTCAAGAGGGATCAAAAATTCATTTCAGGAATATCCCTGGTAAAGCTCAGAGAAGAACCAGGGATTTGCTCAGGGCTCTGATCGTGTTTGATGAGTCCTTGGCTGCAGCAGAGCCACAAATCCCTTGTCTCTCCCATAAGAAGGACATGGAGCTCCTGGAGAGAGGCCAGAGGAGCCACGGAGATGCTGGGAGAGCTGGAGCAGCTCTGCTCTGGAGCCAGGCTGGGAGAGTTGGGGTGTTCAGCCTGGAGAAGAGAAGGCTCCAGGGAGACCTGAGAGCAGCTTCCAGTGCCTGAAGGGGCTCCAGGAAAGCTGGGGAGGGACTTGGGACAAGGGCAGGGAGGGATGGGATGAGGGGGATGGATGAAAAGTGGGAGAGGGAGATTGAGGTTGGAGATGAGGAGGGAATTCTTTGGTGTGAGGGTGGTGAGAGCCTGGCCCAGGTTGCCCAGGGAAGCTGTGGCTGCCCCATCCCTGGCAGTGTTGAAGGGCAGGTTGGATGGGGCTTGGAGCAGCCTGGGCTGGTGGGAGGTGTCCCTGCCCATGCAGGGGTTGGGGCTGGATGATCTTGAAGGTCCCTTCCAACCCAACCCATCCCATGACCCTCTGGTCTCTCCCCAGGTGCCCTTCCTTGGCAAACGCCAGCACCACACCTGCCCCTGCTCCCCCAGCTTCACCTGCTCCAGGTTCCTCGACGGCCGCTTCCGCTGCTCCCTCGACTTCAAGAACCTGGACTTTTAGGGTGCTTCTCCCAGCTCTCCAGCCCCCAGCACCCAGTTCTCCCCCTCTCCCATGGCCGTTGGGTGCCCACGTAGCTCCAGGCAGCTTTCAAAGTGCTTTTCCAAGCTAGACAGTGGCGTTAGAAACTGTGTTGTGTGGGGAAACTGAGGCACGGACAGCTCAAGCTGCTCCCACAGGCTGGACCCAGCTCCAGCATCCAAAACCAGCTTGGAGAAGACCTGATGGCCATGACATTTACACTATTTGGTCCTGCATGAGGAAAGACAAAACTCAGAGAGCCAGAAACTTCCATTTTTGGGGGGAGTTTTAGCACTTTCCCTGCAATTCCCACTGGACAAACCACTGAAGTCCTGATAATTCCCATCATGATGTTGCCCAGTTGGGTCTTCTCAACCTATTTTTGGTCTCCAAGCTGGTGCTGGATGGTCTGATCTAGCTGGGAATGCAAAGAAATTGGTATCAGAATTAAGGAATGGTGGTTTTTTTTTTCCCCAAAGTTCCAACAACCCAATTGCTGGTTGGATTTGAGTTGGGTCTTTGGGATTTTGGGATTTCCAGCCTTGGCATTTTTTCCTTGGGGTTCCCTTTGGGGAGATTTGGGAGCTTCTCAGTGGGGTTTTTTTTGAGGAGAAGGGGGGGGATTGATGCTAATTCCATGTGCTCCAAGTTCTCTCAGCCACGTGGTTTTGGTTCCCTCCTTCCAAAACATCTCGTGGGGGAGAAACAAACCCAACCTGGGGATCTTCCCCCTCCTGCTTCCTACAGCAACCCCTGGAAAAGGCAAATCCAAGGGAATAAAGAGGGGGAATCAAGAAGTAAAAGCAGCATTTGACAGGAAAGAAAAGGGGGAGGAAAAAGAAATACTAATGATCAAATGATCGTGGAAAGAAATGTAAGAAATTTGGTTTGCTTTGAGCTTAAAATGCAAGATTTGGGGGTTTGAATGCAGAGCTGCTCCTGGGGTTGGGTGGATTTGGGTGAGTTGGGGTGGTTTGGGGTGAGTTTGGATGGATTTGGGTGGGTTTTGGGTGGACTTGAGTGGGTTTTGATTGCATTTAGGTGTGTTTTGGGTGCATCTGAGTGGGTTTGGGGTGCATTTGTGTGGGTTTTGGGTGCATTTGAGTGGGTTTTGATTGCATTTAGGTGGGGTTTGGGTGCATTTGGGTGGGGTTTGGGTGCATTTGAGTGGGTTTTGGGTGCATTTGTATGGGTTTTGGGTGCATTTGTGTGGGTTTTGGGTGCATTTGAGTGGGTTTTGATTGCATTTAGGTGTGTTTTGGGTGCATTTGGGTGGGGTTTGGGTGCATTTGTGTGGGTTTTGGTTGCATTTGTGTGGGTTTTGGGTGCATTTGTGTGGGTTTTGAGTGCATTTGGGTGGGTTTTGGGTGCATTTGGGTGGGTTTTAGATGCTCTACCAGCCACCGTTTCAATCCCCAACCCCCCCAGATCTCCAGTTGTGTTGGACAACCAAGTGATTCCCATGTGGAGTTGGATGCTGGGTGAAACCTTCCCTCCCACCTACCCCCTCCCCCTTAAAAATATGGCAAATTTGGTGCAAATAAAACCCTGCAATGACCAGGTTGGTTTGATTCAGTTCTTTTTTCCCCACGACAAAGGAATAATCCTGCCCTGGGGGATGCAGCAGCTTTCCAGGAAGGTGAATTTATGGTGTTATTTTTTTACCTCTCAGGGCTTCAAAACAGTGTTAAAAAGATGCAGTTTCATGGTTTGAGTTTCTTTTCTTATTTAATCAGCTCCTTTTAGCTTTCCCACAAAACTGGGAATGTGGGACTGGGATTGATCCTTTGATTTCAGGGCTTTTTTAAGCAATTCCCATGGAAAAATAAGGCCATTTATTCTCTCCCAGCAGAAAGAAAAACCAGGAAAAAAGAAAGAAATCAAGCCAATAGTTTCTTGACATCCTCAGTTCCCATTTTAGGGGGACTTCCCAGACCTGGAGCAGGGCTGCTGGGTGGGAATGACCAGTTTTCCAGTGGCTTTAAGCTGCAGGAGGTGACAATTTAGTTGGGGAACCACTGGATGATGGTAGAAATTTACAGAGGGACACCTCCCCCGCAAGAGCAGGACTGATTGATTGATTGATTGATTTATGATTCTTGATTGGAAATTGTTAATTAAAGCAGTGATGAGCAGCCCAGCTGAGGGACCTGCTCAGGTTGCTCCCCAGGGATGTGTCCCTGAGTGGTTTTTACCTGCAGTTTAGCAGAAAAAACACCCTCACAGCAAAGAATTCCCTCCTCATCTCCAACCTCAATCTCCCTCTCCCACTTTTCATCCATCCCCCTCATCCCATCCCTCCCTGCCCTTGTCCCAAGTCCCTCCCCAGCTTTCCTGGAGCCCCTTCAGGCCCTGGAAGCTGCTCTAAGGTCTCACCCTTGGTAAGTTTGCAGATGACACCATGTTGGGTGAGAGTGTTGATCTGCTGGAGGGTGGGAAGGGTCTACAGAGGAGGTGGTGGGGCCTGGTGGAGGGTCTGGTTCTTAGAGGAGCTTTGGGGCTTTGCACAAATCCCCCTGACTCAGGATTTTTGGGGGGGGAATGAACCTGCTCTGCTGGTGGATCAGCACAAATCTCCCAGGTGTCAAATGCTGCTGCAGGAGCTGTGGGCAGCAAAATCCTGCCTGATTTATCTTGTCCTCAGTTCTTGTGCCCTTGGAAAAGGGGGGAGAAGAAGCTGAGAAAGGTCCTCAGGGAGAAGGGCTTGATGCTCATGGCAGTGGCAAGACACCAGCCCCAAATCCCTGCATGTTTTCCCCAACAGGACCAAGGTGGCCACCAGAGCCTTGCTGAGCACCTGCCACCTGAGGGTTGGCTTTGCCCTCCAGCAGTGGGGTGGTTGTGGGGTGCCCATCCCCACCAGGGAGGCTGGGGAGGAACTTGGGACAAGTTGGGAGGGATGGGATGAGGGGGAGGGATGAAAAGTGGAAGAGGGAGATTTAGATAAGACATGGAGGTCCTGGAGAGAGTCCAGAGGAGCCACAGAGGTGATGGGAGGGCTGGAGCAGCTCTGCTCTGGAGCCAGGCTGGGAGAGTTGGGGTGTTCAGCCTGGAGAAGAGAAGGCTCCAGGGAGATCTTAGAGCACCTTCCAGTGCCTGAAGGGGCTCCAGGAAAGCTGGGGAGGGGCTTGGGACAAGGGCAGGGAGGGATGGGATGAGGGGGATGGATGAAAAGTGGGAGAGGGAGATTGAGGTTGGAGATGAGGAGGGAATTCTTTGGTGTGAGGGTGGTGAGAGCCTGGCCCAGGTTGCCCAGGGAAGCTGTGGCTGCCCCATCCCTGGGGGTGTTGAAGGGCAGGTTGGATGGGGCTTGGAGCAGCCTGGGCTGGTGGGAGGTGTCCCTGCCCATGCAGGGGGTTGGAACTGGATGATCTTGAAGGTCCCTTCCCACCCAAACCATTCCATGATTCTATGAATTCAAAGAGGGGGGAACACCTCGGGAACGTGTCTCCATGCAGGGAATGTCTATCCTGGGCTGCCATCTCGTGGCTGAGCTGCCAAACCCGACCTGTTGCTCTCTGGGGATGCTCGGAAATGGGGGGGGGTGTCTGGAGAGGGACCCTCCAGGGCTTCCCTGGAAATTCCAGCTCCAAAAAGGAGGGAGATCCTTCCAGCAGACCAATATTTCCCAGTTGGCCACAAGTTCCAACTCGCTCCGAGGATGCAAAACACTCGGGATGTTTTTCTGACGGAGCCAAGAGGGGGTTTTGGTGCGCTTTTTTTGAGCTGTTTCTGCAGCTGTTGGGAATTTCAAGGGCATTTCAGCCTGTGGGATGAAGGAGGTGCCAGTTCAGCTCCTCAAGGTCCGACTCAGGAGTGGGGCAGTTAAGTGGAGCCTTGGAGGGATGTCACTGAGCTGTGGGGAGGGGCTGAGCTGGAAATTGTAGGGGAGAATGGGGTTCTTGGCAGGTTTTTCTCAAGCAGCAGTTGGGTGCTGGCCCTGGGGACCCAGAGCCTGGGTCTCCTCATCTTCACTTTTGGATAAGTTGGACATGAGCTGGAGAAACTGAATCCCTCTGGCTCCTCCTCGGAGCAGGAACCAGATTTGGCCTCAGCAAAGCCCTGCAGGGTTTGTCCTCAGCTCAGGGATCTTTACTGTCCCATTTCTCAACCCCCTCCCACCGTTCCCAGCTGGGGAGCAGCTCCCTTGGAGGAGCCCAAAGCCAGGAACAAAAAAAGTTGAGTCCAAATAGTATTTGTTGCATGTCAGACTTGGGAGCAGCTCTTCTTGGATGGTAGAATCCAGTTTACAAGTTAATAAGGATCAGGTGCTTCTTCCATCCCTCTGTCCACCCATCCCTCCTTCTCTCCCTCTCCCCCTCCTTCTCTCTGTCCCTCCCTCCATCCCTCCCTCCATCCATCCGTTCATCCATCCATCCACCCCTCCCTCCATCCCTCCGTCCCTCTCCCCCTCCTTCTTTCCATCCTTCCCTCCATCCCTCCATCCATCCATCCCTCCCCCCCTCCTTCCCTCCATCCCTCCCTCCATCCATCCCTCCCCCCCTCCTTCCCTCCATCCCTCCATCCCTCCCTCCTTCCCTCCATCCTTCCCTCCATCCCTCCCTCCATCCATC